TGGAGAGCCACAGTTCTTCTATATGTACCGACGGCTGCCAGTACATTTTGAAAACTGTGGACCCCGTTCGTAAGTACGGATTGTCTGTAAGTCGGACGTCCGTAACCCGGGGACTGCCTGTATATGGATATGTATATATCTATATCTCTATATATCATAATTTAAAAAGTTTAATTTCAAAGTGACACTAAACTCGGGAGTTAAATCTTAAAAATGCATTCAAGTACCTTAACTAGTATCTTATTTGTGTATCACTCAGCTGAAGATCCTCAAATCATTTCTGAATTGGTGCTGACACTGTCCTTCCTTCTGGGGGGTGGCTACTTTTGTTCGCCATGGTCCCTGTGTGTGTTGTAAAGTAGCCACCACTCCCAGCTCACTCCCATGATAGACTACAGTTTCAATACAAATTACTAAACTAAACATGTTTTGAGGATCTACGGCTGGGTGATGCACACATAAGCTACATTTCTCAGTACAAATTGGTAAACTAAATGTGAGTGAGGGAGTGAGCTTGGGGCAATGGGGAACAAAAGTAGCCACCCTCCAAAATGTGTATTATGAAGTAATTCTGTCTTGAAGATCACAACAAAGACTCTGAAGTCATGTTTCTAACAGCTTATAAAGCGCTTACTTTTTGTTAAAATCCTAAAATTGACAGGCTGCCAAGTTTATGCTGCTGAAAATGAGGGGAGAGGAGCTGTGATTTCTGCACCTCTGTTGGGAAATGTAAAGGTTAATTTCTCCACAATGCCTAAAGCCACAGAAGTCAGTGAGGGCTTGTTTAAAGGTGTTTTAGTCCCACTCTACCTGTTAATTTTCTTTGGTGTTTTTATGGAGAATGTTACAGTAGGAGTGGGTAAAAAGCCAGTAACTATGGTAGAGATATCTTTCCATGGGGGTTAAGATATATCAAAAGACATCTAATGACTAAATATTGTCCCTAAAACTGGAAGTAAGTTGAGTTGCAGTAAGGTTAAAGTCTATCTCAAGGACAACAAAATCTACCCTTGCATTGTTAGTAGAAGTCATTCACACAATACCCCTAGGCATAAACGTGGCAGTTAACTTTTGCAGTGTGCGGGTAGCCCCACTGCAAGAAAAGTTGTTTTCTCCCCGCTGGATATATGCTTTAAATCTATATTATTATATTCTTTCTTCACGGAAAACATATTAAAAACATAATTATTAAACAAGATAGACTGTTCACACTCACAATCTTCAGTCTACATAACTAGAAAGCTTTCATTTTGGACCTGATATTCTATGGAGCTAGGAACTGTCTCTGCTTCGTTTGACTTGCCTGAAGGTAAGATACATGTCCTGCGATGGTGCTTAAAGTGGACTTCTACCCCTTTGGCTAAAAAACATACTCTGCCTGCTGATATGAAATCATCTTTGCTGGGAAATCAGTGCTTTGCTGGGAAATCTCATCTGTAATCTCATCTGTTGATCCAGGGACTATCCGATTGCCTTATGGGATCAGGAAGGATTTTTTTTCCCCTGTTGGAGCAAATTGAACCATGCTTTTTTTTTTGCCTTCCTCTGTGTCAACAGTGGGTAATTGGGGGCATAACATTCTGTTTAGGCTTTTCTTTTTTTATATATATCTCTATAGGTTGAACTCAATGGACATGTGTCTTTTTTCAACCTGACTAACTATGTAACTCATGAGATCTCTGGGAAAGGCATTTTCCTCCCCTGAGATGATGTGCATGGTCACATTTCCTAGTCACATATGCCAGAGTTCCAGGAAGTAAAGGGAGATCTAGTGATCTGCCCTTAGTTAAAATGGCCACTGTGAGAAGATTGGGGAAGAAAATAAAAACAAGGTATGCAAAGAATAGAAAGTCGGCAATTATCTAGAAGTATGTGTTTGTAGATTGTCATTACTAAACATTTCTAAAGGTGCCTTTGTTGTTATATTGAAGATATAGGTAAAGTTCCTCTTTAATGCTTTCCTTCCCTCTTACCACTGAAAAGAAAAAGGACCTGTGCTAGGTTGCTTGTTACTACCCAAGGGTAACTGTAATTGTCCTCATGCTCTCCTATGTATAGTATGGTAAGTGTTGGATCAATAGCGGCATTAGGCCACGCCTATACTCATCTTGTTGGGCTCACTGGGAATGATCAATGAAATTTACTTATGTCTTAAAATTAATTATTTTCATTTTCTGTCACTCATTAATATGCTTTACTTTGTGAGGTTGGTTAGGTGGTTTGTAATGGAAACATTTTCTGTAACAGAAAAATGCAGTGATGTTGTTACTTTTATTTATCAAGCAGCAAGAGCTTTTCAAAACACGATTACGTTTCAGAATACTGTCCCTTTTTGCGGTTATTAAAAATGGCCATCACTTTTTTCTTCTCTGCTTCAGCATCTGCACTGACAAAGGAATAATTAATGTACGTGAATTTTAGGACATTTATAAGTATAACAGCAAAAATGTGCATTGCCTTTCTAAGATATTTTATAGGCACGGTATTGTGCTTGTATGAGTGATTTGTGTTTTCTTCCCTGTAAAACCAGAAATATAATTGTATTGCTGCATTTCCATACCTTTATAAATGTCACATTCTATTGGTGTGTTGATTAGAAAAGGGAAAGCATCCAGTAACATACATAGTGATTCCATATTGTTATACAATGCTGCAACATGTAACACATTTTCCCCCATAGCACCTAAAGGAAAAACACAAAGATTCTAATCAGAAACACATAGGACTGAGAATAATAATGTTGGCTGTATATTTTCTTACATTAAAATGCAATAATGCTGCCCATAGTTAGATCACAGTTGTAGAATGTGTTCCAGCCAGGAATTTCCATAAGCCGATATTTATATAAATGCGCACATTCAAGTCAGACAATGCACTGTGAATAGTAGGCAGATTTGGCAAAGGTCTTGTTCTGGGGAACAACAAGCGCATGAACTGAAAAAATCCATCCCAGTAATAGCCCTCTCTACAAGGGAACTCTCAAGTGGCTGCTGGGGCAATTCATACTCCATACTGATAACAGATAAAGGCCATGTAAAATATTTGGCAAAATATCTAGCATTAACAAAAAATTAAAAAAGGAAAGCATGGGAAACCATGTGACACAAGCTATTTGAGTCAGGGCAATAGGTTGCTGTCTTTGTAAGGCAGTCTGGAGTCCTTTGGAGAATAGTTATACAGCACATCAAGGATTTGTTAAGGTTTAACTAAACCCAAACACAAAATTATAATATATTGCAGTTTATCAGTACTGAAATATGGTGGCTGTAATACTTAACCTTTATTTTAACCCAGCATGAACGGCAGTGGTGGGCGATTCCCTGATTGTGTGGCCATCCGTGCGGTTTTGTGCACAATTGCCACGCGGTCACAGATCGCCCAGGTGTGAACCTAGCACTAGAACAATTACAGCAAGAGTTGTAGCAACAGTTTTTTCTTCTTTTGGGATAAAGGTTTAACATAAATGAAAAAAACTGACCATTTTAAGCACACCTTTCAGTGTCATATGGTCCCAACCCCCTAACTGCTACTTGTGATGGACAGCTTGGTCTGTTAGAGGAAGCTGAAAAATAACAGACTTACTGGCCAGATCACCAGGTAAAAAATAAACAAATTCAGTCCCCACATTTAAGTTTACATTTTTGCTTTTGAGTTTAGATGTGCTTTAAACTGGCAACGATCCCTGAAGTGTTTATGCCAGTATTGCAGCTTCATGATCCAACACATATGCCTGGGTTTCTTTAAATATCAATGAATATAACTATCACCCTAAAGGTTTCCAGAGCAAACCTAGCCAAATATATGATTTAGCCATTGGAGAATCCAACCTGTGAATTACTGTTTTCTTGAACAATCATAACATAAACTTGCATGCCCAGTCCTTGTATTAGGAAAACAGTAATGAATGGCCTGGAAAATTCATCCTGGGTGATTGATCTCTTTCATTAATCTAAGCAGGAAGGGGGGTTCCGCAGAGGACACCGACTGTACATGGTCATATCATTCTTTTGTGATCTGCCCATAATTAGATGGATCGAGTAACATGTTTATGCACACCTTAAGTGACATAATTACCAGCTTAAGTAATTAGACATATGTTGTCATAAGAGTAGCTTGTGACTTATAAGACATTTATGTTACTTGCACAGTCCCTCTAGTGCAACTGTTCAGAGATGTCCACCAGGCGCAGGAATAAATGATGGATGCATGTTGGTAACTCAGCTGGGTCATTCTGCATGGCTGAACAACTGATTGGCTTGTTTAGTAGCACATAACATACAACCAAAAGTTTCCAGCATACCTTTTAGAGATGGATTAATATTCTCTTTAATTAGCCTTCTCAGAAGTTTCACATTATTTCCCTTTGCTGCTTTGAAAAAAAGGTTTTCTTTTCTGCCAATGAAAAATAACATTATTTTCAGGTTAAAGAATACAGACACTTCACTATCTCTTCATATAGTGGAGGGAGGACGCGGCAACTGAGACTCTCATGTGGACAACAGTTAGGCTGCAGAGGGTTGTGTGATCAGACGGAGCCCACACTCCCTGCAGTCTCTGTAGCTCTTAGCCTGGACTGGCAGGTCTTCAAATATGAACAGCCGTGAATAACTGGCCCAAACACAGCAGAACTACAACTAAGATAAACACAGGCGATCCTACACCCTTGCTCACCCGTGGAGTCCCTCAACTTATAGCCCCGGGTCCCCAAGACAACTCTGCCCGTATTCAGATACTTTCAGTAGGTGAGAGTCCATGATCCCCTGATGAAGCAGTGTGTGAAACGCGTTGGGACTGCATATACTGATATTGTTATCTTACTGAACATATATATATAATGAGTTTTAAATTAATGTAATTGGATATATGGGAATTAAGATGATTTATGGATCTATGCTCCTGTTTACATTGATTTTGTTGTTGGTTTAGTGCAAACAATGTGTATATGTTTTTAGTACTATCTTTTAAAATAAATGATATTTTTATTCATAAACTCCCTGGTGTGGTGTTATACCTCTCTCAAACCCAGGTTCTCTCTTTTATGTACAATTGATATTATTTATCATGTTCTGAATTTGACGCTAGTGGCAGGTAGTCAGCTGAACTACCTTTAACTGTGCTTTATATAGTTCTAGGGTTCAAAAATAGGAAAATTCATAGCAACTCGGTTCAAAGTTAAATTTTGAGTCACCTGTTCCCTGTAAAAGAGAATAAATACTGACCATGTCCACACTGGTAACTATCACCAATTGTCCTCTAAGAAAATTATACTTCCAGGAAAGACATTCTCCTTGTTTCCAGCTGTAGTTAGTGTTTCCTTTTTAGTTACTATTGCACAGGGAAAATTACTTTTTCTATAAAAGATCTATGAAAAAACCCATCAAATAACAACAAAATACACAAAGAATAAGCAACCCCCCAACAGATATTTTCATCACACGTGCGTGATCATATGGCTCTTGTTTACCAACAAAGCCTTTTATGCTAACCATATACATGTTTTGTTGATAAACAAAAGCCATTTCATTGTGTTTGTACATAATCAATTGGCTTTTTTTTAATCAATCACACATCCTCGATAATCATCAGGTCATTGAGGATGTATGATTACCAATGGTTTTGTTGATAAGGAGATGTAAGCCACAGGATGCTCCAGTGGAATCTCAATTATAAGAGCATTATATCAGTTGTACAAAGCTTCAAAATATGTCCAATCAATTGAATTCCCTACCAAGTAATCAGCTGGCACTGACTTAGGTTACAACAGTCCAGAAATATATGAAAGCCAAAACGGCCCAAGACAAGGTAGCAGCTTTGGGCCCCCTCCCACTTCCAACAATTCCAATGAGAACATTTGATGCATTTATAAAGATTCTTCACAGACATTGGAGACTTTCCAAAGTGCCCAGTCATAGTCCTGTATCACAAAGACTGGACTAGTAGTATGTTTTGAGTAGGTACATATACACAATACTCTTAGCCTTCATGGACGTGACTTGAGGGATGCAGGGTAAAACAATTCTCAGCAATTGTTTTTAAATAATATATTGCTTATTGATCACCTACATGACCCTCTTCTTCATTTTTTATTATCTTCGCCACGCTCTCCATCACATTCTTTTTGCTTCTTTAATGCTGTAGGCCTGCACCAGTTTAACTTGATTCAGTTCAGACCTCTGGGTCTTTGTTCTTTTACTTTACCTATCAATCATACCTCCGAACATGCTAATTCTTTTTATATTGTCCCATCCCATTTACCAATACAACTTGATTACACTCAGTGTTAGATCACTAGATCAATAGGCTATCTGTGCACACCTGCTAGCCTGCATTCTGGTCCATTCTTTGACTTGCCTACTGAACCATTACATATTACTGAAAAGTATTTTATGTGGAGCAGATAGTCTGTCCATGGCCCCACTTTCTAACCAACTCCATAATCTTAACAAGGATTGCATTAGGTGCAAAAGGGCCACTTTGTTTACATTGTCTGTACTGGTGTATGTACTGGCATGGCCTGCCTTATTAGACACCAACTGCCTAAAAGTGCATGCTTCCTCTAGAAGGACAGGTGGGTTTACAGCTTTTCCCTGCTGTACTGCAATGTTTTATGTAGGGAGGAGGTTATAGCTGGGCTCCCTGGACATATGCTGTTCATTTACAGTGGCAAGAAGAAGTATGTGATACCCTTGGAATTAACTGTTTTTCTGCAGTAATTTGGCATAAAATGTAATCTGATCCTCCTCAGCAAGTCAAACCAAAGCTTAAGCTGATAACACACAAACAATTCTAATTTCTTGTGTCTTTGTTGAACACATCCAATAAACATTCACAGTGCTGGAGTAAAAAGTAAGTGAACCCATAGACTATTCACTTCAACAAAAGCTCATTGGAGTCAGTATCTTGCACACCTGGAGTCAAGTTAAATACATTCATTTGAAGTTGTGGTTTAGAGCTGCTTTGATTGAGAAAAGACACAAACATTTTAAGATTGCTGTTCATAAGAAGCATCAACTGATGTGAACCATGCCTTGCAAAAAGGAGCCCTCTGAAGACCTACAACCAAGAGTAGTTGATCTGCATAAGGCTGGAAAGGGATAAAAAGCAACCTCAAAGTGTTTAGGCAGCCATCACTCTACAGACAAAAAGTCTATAAATGGAGACAGTTTAGTACCGTGGCTACTCTTACTAGAACTGGGCATCCAGCCAAGATGACTCCCAAAGCACAATGCAGAATCCTCAATGAGGTAAAGAAGGACTGACAAGTAACAGCTAAAGGCTTGAAGACATTACTGGAACTGGCAAACATCCCTCTTCATGAGTCTACCATATGTAAGTCTTTGAACAGGCAGGGTGTCCATGGCAGAACACCATAGAGGAAGCCGCTGCTCTCCAAAAAAAAAAAATTGCTGCACACCTGAAGTTAGCTTACGTGCACCTTGGCAAACCACAACGCTACTGGGAAAATGTTTTGTGGCCTGAAACAAAAGTTGAATTGTTCGGGAAGAATACTCAGCACCATGTATTGCACGAAAAGGGCACAGCTTACCAACATCAAAACATCATCCCAATGATGAAGTATAGTAGAGTGAACATCATGATTAGGGCTTCAACCAGCTAATCGATAATGAGAATAGTTGTCAACTATTCTCATTATCGATTAGTTGGTTGGATCCCCTAGCTCTCTTCTCCACGCTGGGAAGAGGGCACAGCAAGCAGTGGGCAGGTGCAATAGCCAGCCTGTTATTGGCTATTGCTATTTCAAATGGTGAATAGCAAGCTGGCCATTGCACCAGCTCACTACCTGCTGTATTTACATTAATCTGCCATCTACAGAATATTGCCACTGTCAGCTGTCATTCCCTGGCTGAAGCTATTCAAGCACCATGTGCTTACAATACAATTATTTATTTTTTTAATATAAAAGCTGGTAAAAAAAAAAGTCATTTTCAGTTTTGCTCTGATCAATTTTGCTTCAGGAGGTGCGTTGCAGTGCCATTCATTTCAGTGGCACCCCAAACATGCCTCCCACACACAGTATGATCGCTCACACTAGAACGCACGGTACCGCAATGCCGTACGTTCCAGTGCAGCGTGATTGCAAAAAATCCTGAAGTAAACTTTATGTTTGTAACACTGCATTTGTGTATTTTATTTGAAATTAAGGATGGAATCATTTTTTTATCCAATTAATAGAAAAAATTATTTGCCAAATATTTGACTATGAAAATAATCATTAGTTGTAGCCCCAATCATGATTTGGGCTTGTTTCGCTGCCTCAGGGCCTGAACCACTTGCCATCATTGAGGGAAAAATGAATTCCCAAGTTTACCAAAATATCCTACAGGATAATGCCAGGATGGCTGTCCGCCAGCTGAAGCTTAGTAGAAGTTGGGTGATGCAGCAGGACAATGACTCTACGCATCTAATTAAATCCACCAAAGACAAGCTTTAAAAAAAATGGAGTAGCCATTCAGAACCCAGACCTTAACCCATAGAGATGCTATTGATTGACCTCAAGAGAGCCATTCACACCAGACATCCTACAAAATTGTCTGAGCTGAAGCAGTTTTGTAAAGGGGAATGGTGAAAAATTCCCCCTGACTGTTGTGCAGGTCTGATCCCGAGCTACCAAAAGCGCTTGCTTGAAGTCATTGCTGTTTTAATGATACCGGATCTAAATATTCTTTTCTATTCTATTTTATTTATACTTATTCACATTAACATTGGAGTTTGATTATTTGGATTTTATTAGACACTAGGCTGGATTCGATATATCCTAGTGTTCAACACGGTGTACGGAATCTACATACTGAACTACTTTCACTTTATATACCTGAATATTATGAATTTGTATTCATTATTTAGAAACTAGGTTTGATGTGTTACAATTATAGTGTTCAGCGCGGTGCAAGAGTTTGTGAGAACATGATTTTTCTTGCATTTGTATTGTGCCTTCTTAGGATGTTATTGTTACTCAAGCTGTTACTGACTCTTGATACTGAGTTCTGTATGCAACATGACAATCTTGGCTTATATACTGTATGTCTGATGTTAATGTAATAAGAACATTAATTTAATAATTCTTAGCTACAAATGACTAAAGGCATAGTTTTTGGTATTTGGAGGAACATTATCCTGAACGTTTTAAAAACCAAAAGAAAGAAATATTTGGTGACATTTAATAACAATATTTTGCACATGAACATGACCTTAAAACACTTTCCGGAGTGGGAACAGTATAAAGCAATTCTGAATAAATTACTGAGAAAACTTTTCCTAAGGTATCATTCACCTTTATGCTCTTACATGATGCACTTTCAAACAATCATGCATGTAGCAATGTGTTAGATCTAAAAAAACACATGTACAGCTTGTTGAAATCCTTGGCACTACATATCAAAACATGAAAACACAATTGCAAGTATTTTTAAAGAAAATAAATTGCATGAATTTTTTAAAAACAGTATTTGAACAAAGCCTAAGGAGGGTTATGGGAAAAACATGGGTCATGGGTAGGAATCACTGTTGACTGCTGAACATCTGTACAATTGAAGGGTCTCTAACTGAACAAAGAAGACCAAACCTGCCACCTGGAGCATATCTGTGTGTCTTGTTATTATATACCTGTACAACTACAGATATTTTATCTGTAGTATCTTCATAAACTACAAATGACTATTTCTTTCTATTAGCAAACACCAACTTTAGTATAAGTTAAAAAAAAAAAAGTTGATACCAAAGCATGCAGGCTTTAATGTTCAAGGAGATGAACATTTGAATGACATTGTGTCATTTCCCGGTTGTCATTAATGCTGAAGCTACAAACTAAACTTCTGCACAAATCAACTGAACATACCTGTCCCACTAATATAGACATAGGTATTAGAATTTATTGTTTTGATACCTGTAGCAAATGTAAATATAAGACTTACGCTCTGTACGTGTTTTCTTGGTTGTATATGGTAATTAGTCTTTTCTCAGAAGCCATATTGTCGAAAGAGGTTGTAGACCCGATGTTGAGATATGGATACCTTCTCATCGCTTTCTAGCTTTTTACTAAAAAGGTATGTTCTTCTCTGACCTAAAACCATTGCTATGTCCTAAGGGGATAAGTTATGTGCCAATTATCTACATATCCTTCTGCCTTTCAGCAAGGAGTGTACAGTAAACAGATACATAGTGTATGGCTTTTTTTGTCCCTGTTTTCTTTATGGCTGCATGACTTTCAAAAAGTTCCCAAAATAAAGTGATTCAACTGTTTTCTTACTGGTGGACATAGAGCCTCAGGGCTTCAGCAAAGAACTGAATGTCATTCTAAGGACATGAATCACAGATCAGAGTTATCTGAACTAAACTGCTTTTTGAAGTGCAAACATCACATGGCACCCGGTAATATATTCGGCATCTCTCATCTGTAGGTACTTCATGCCAATGTCATCTCATTATTTTGCACATCAACATATTAAACACTGTTTACAATAAATAACTATTTTTTAGTGACAGCTGAATCCTGAACTGCTGCAGGATCAGTGTCACTAACTTATTATCGGCTGTTCTGAAGTTTGAAGCAGCCTGATAATAACCAAAAATGTATTCATTTATCAAGCAGTAACAGTGAGATTAATTCACAATGACTGTTTGATATAATTAAATAAAATACAATTTTTAAGTTTAAAAAAAACTGAAAAAAAAAAAAAATTGTGAAAAGTGTAAAAAAAAATAAAAATAAGGGACAAATAAATGAATGTATTTATTGCATTTTGGTTTTTTTAACGTTTTTTTTTCTCTTTTTTTATATTTTATTTGTCCTAAGTGAGGCGTTAGACACACATATGTGATATAAATATGTAGCCCTATCTGTCCTCTAAAAAACAATATATAATATGTGTGGGTGCACTTTGTAAGAAAGTATATTACTGACGTGGAAGAATCACACAGCAAAAATGTAAAAAGTGTGTCAGTCATTTACGAACAGAAACTAAAAACAAGCTCAGTCATGAAGGGGTTAAATCTCGTGTGTAAACTACTAATGGAGATGAATAAAGGCCGACATGTTTGAACTCTTGAAGAAGCTGTACTAATGAAACGCGTCAAGTGGGAGGAGATCTGTGACATTATCAAGCTACCTGGAAGTGACACTGCAGATGCACAGCAGACAGTAGGGTACATGTCTATTAATAGTGCTGGTTAGCACAGAATAGTGTTTTTTTATTGAGGTTTTATTAAATAAAGTTTAAAAGGTTTTAAACTATGCACAATTCTTTCTTTAATTCATCAATAAGGAGGAACATTTTATGAATGTGTCTGGATCAAAAAAGCATCCTTAAAGGGGTTTTAAAACCTCTGTTTTTTTGCCTATATCTAATGCTATCAACCAGTAGGTATAGGCAAAAAGTAGAAAAAACAAAAAAACGCTTTAACCAGTTGACATCCGCGCTGTTAAACCTCCTTCCCATCCAGGCCATTCTTCAGTATTCAGCACTGCGGTACTTTGGCTGACATTTATTCCATCATGCAACACTGTACTGAAATTAATTTTATACCATTTTTTAGGGACAGATGGAGCTTTCTTTAGGTGATATTTATTCACCACTGGGGTTTTTATTTTTTACTATATTAAGGAAAAATTACCGAAATTAAAAAAAAACTGTTTTTTGTACAATATAAAAGACGGGGTCACGTCGGGTAAAAAGGCACCAAACATGTCAAGCCTTAAAATTGCGTGTGCGCGCGAAACCTCAAAAAACGATAATACCCAAAATTGGCCATAGGCGACGCTTTAAAAGCTGTTACCGCTCATCAGTTTAGTGTTATCAGTGATTGATGGCCCTAAAATGGTTGCTCTCACTGCGACGTTCGCGGCGATATGTAACGTGTGTAGCCCAATTGTTGTTTTCGCGCGCTGGTATACCGGACGCATATTTAAGTTTATATGTGCGTAAACGTGGGGGTGGGGGAGTTAAACATTTTGGGTTTTTTATTAACTTTTTTTATATGTGACTTTTATTTTTTTTTACTTTTTTATATGTGACTTTAATTTTTATTTTTTATTTATATATTTTTTTGCACTTATTGTTATTGCTATTATATACGCCCGTGCGCGCTCGCTAGGGGGCGCGCGTGAGCAGAAAAAAATGCCGTCTGCCAACCCGCCAATGCAGCAGTGCCGTCCGTCCGTTTTTTTACAACGGGTGGACGGCAACTGGTTAATAGCGGTTTAAACTTACCTCGTTATCGCTGCGTGTTCCCGCGCCGAGAAAGCGAAACTGCTCTATTGGTGATTCCCATCAAAGATCTAATTATTCTGTGAGCACAGAAGACTGCACACTTTGAAACTACAAGTTTCACATGGCTGGATATCTGGACACTTTCGTGCACAAATGTTAATGCAATTTATGTTCAAACACAACACAGGCCAGCATTTTTTGTTGTTGTTTTGGTACAATATCTGTATATTAAACCAAAACCAAAATAATCTAGTTGTTTACATACAGCATATGTGATGTGGTGAAGTAGGTACATATCACACAAACAGTTTCATTGACAATAAGGAGACGATGGAGGGTAGAAGTTATTTATATTGTATGGTATTGTATTAGGAAACAGTAAAGCTCTGTGTACACACAAAATAATATACTGTATATAATATTATCTTGACAGATAACTAGTACAGCCAGGGCTGGCCTTAGGCCTTTAGGCGCCCTGTGCGAGAAAGCTTTACAGCGCCCCTCAGTGGCCACACCCTTTAGTGGCCACACCTGTAACCACACCCATTTTCCCCAATATCCGCACCATTTAAAGACTCCTATTTTGTTAAGCCGCAAAGAAACATAAAAAAGTTTGATAAAAATAAAACTTTTATTCAAAGGTATTAAACTTGTAGGCACAATAGAAGTATTCTTATCAAATAAAACAACAGAAGGTAAACAATAAATGTCAAACTACAATAGAGTCTATAAAAATAAAGTGTCAGGATGTCATGCAGACCCTTTTTTCAAGTAAGTGTATCTAGAAAAGTAAAAATAAAAAACAGAACACAGACCCCGGGCATTCAGACACATTATGTATTCAGACACATAATAATAATTTGTTTGAGAATGTGCGGTGGCCATGTTGTCCACCAGCGTGTTCTGTGAATGTGTGCCACCATCTTGGAGGCAGGGAGAATGCCGTTATATGACGCCATGCATGCGTGGCATCAGGTGACCTCACACGCCGATATTGGCCCCACCATCTTGGTGTATACCTAGATATACACCAAGATGGCGGCGCCCAACACGTGCGGTGTTATATGACGTCATGCGCCCTGCCTCCAGAACACGCCAATGGCTGAATACAAAATAGCATATAAATGTGTTTCGTTTGATGAAACAAATAAAAACTTTTGTAGTTTTCGTTCATTTCATCTGAAATTAATTTTTAGTCTTCGCACATGTCTAATAATATGTGTGTGTGTGTGTGTGTGTGTGTGAGCGCCCTGTGCGGCCGCACGGCTCGCACACCCCTAAGGCCGGCCCTGAGTACAGCTGCTTAGAAAACACATTGATTAAGTGGTAGGGAGCGTGGAGCTCACTTTTGATTTAAATGTTTGCAGTTTAGCCTTTGTGACAACCACGGCTCCTTCCATAGATACAGTAAAGGAGTGAGCGTAGCCACCCAGGGACAGGAAGTGTGTTATTTGCAGGATTACCAGATGAAAATAAAGGTAAACAAGTCTGAAAAAAAAATACAACTAATGCAGCCATAACATCTAAGGACTAAGCTGTAATATAATACATTTTTGTTTTGGGGTTTAGATATGCGTTAACACATGATTTTGTAAATGTTAGTGTAAGGCTAGGATGTGACGGGGAGTATATAGTAGCCAAAACAGAGAGACACAATATAATATAATGTTCTTTATATACTGCAGTGCATTTGAAATAGTTTAGCCGATATTAAGGCCAGATGACAACTGCTGACATGTCAGCTGCTTGGTATGATTTATATGTGTGGTTCAGGACCGGGTCCTGTGTGCCCTTAGGTATGACCATTTGGTTCTATGTAGCCCTCCAGTTTAATGAAGTTAAGTTAAAAAAATAAAGTTTAAAAAATAAAGTTAAATAAAATAAATGTAAAAATACCTCCCCAAAAAATGTTTTAAGTATCAGGTACCCGAGAACACACGTTGGGTTCGCCAATGTATAAAAATGATGATTGCGCCACACAAGCTAAGCACAACAAAACGCTCAAGACAAGGAATACCATTCATTTATATAGCCCCTGTTCACACCTGAGCATTTTGTCGCAAGCAGTAAAATGCTTGTCGCTGGAAAATACGTAAGCTACATTTTGGCAGACTACAGTACTTTTTGGTCCCATGGACTTCAACAGGAATCTTTGTGCAACAAAACGCGCAAACATTTTTGAAACATGCGTTTCCAGACGCTTCCCATTGAAATCTATGGGACCAAAAAGCGTAATCTGCCAAAAAGTAGCTCATGTTCTTTTTCAAGTGACAGGCATTTTTCTGCTTGCAACAAAATGCTCATGTGTGAACAGGGGCTATATAAATGAATGGCGTTCCTTGTCTTGAGTGTTTTGTTGTGCTTAGCTTTAAGCGACAAAATGCCTAGTTTTGAACTGTTGGTTATGGATTTAGATGAGGCACTGAGATCTTGAGAAATGCTGAATGAAGTTTTACTTGCTTAGAAGAAAGTTACATATGTGTATACAACATTGTACAGAATACAGAGAAAACTTTCTTGTGTATATCATAGATAAACATGCATAAGCATAGAGACTAACATTGCACTACGGCGCCATCCACAGCTCAAAAGACATAATTACGCAAGTAATACAATCATATACAGGTGAAACTCAAATAATTAGAATATCGTGCAAAGTTCATTTATTTAACTAATGCAACTTAAAAGGTGACACTAATATATGAGATAGACTCATTACATGCAAAGCAAGATAGTTCAAGCCGTGATTTGTCATCATTGTGATGATTATGGCTTACAGCTCATGAAAACCCCAAGAACCCCAAATCCACAACCTCAAAAAAGTAGATTATTACATGCAATCAATAAAACAAGGATTGTACATAGAACAATATCGGACCTCTGAAAAGTACAAGCATGCATATGTACTCAGTACTTGGTTTGGGCCCCTTTTGCAGCACTTACTGCAATTACTTTTGCACGATATTCTAATTATTCGAGTTTCACCTGTGTATGCTGTTGCATTTCCAACATGAATGGGGATTAAGAGCTAGACAGGGATCTGGCAATTACATGATCTTGCTTAGAAGAGGTGTGTTGGAAGCAGGAACTGTGTTACTATGTAGTGGAATCATTAGCAATGACTATAGGTTGTTTTTTTTAACTCAAAATACTCCTTATATGTGATATGTTTTTTCTTTCATTTAAAAAAGGGTCGATTGTTCCCTTTATTACAGTTAAGAGAGCTTTTAAATCTTGCCTTGTTACATTTTGCTTTCCAAGCATCTTCCATTTCAACCAAAATTATAGCAAATTGATGGCATTGTGTCACAAGGTGAGTTCTTCAATAAAGTGTCATATGGAAAGCTGGGCAGCGGAAGTGACGGTGTGTTACTAGGTAACAGATCGTGTTCCTGGAGAAACTAGATCCATGGATCCATCCTAAACATCCCACAGAAACCGCACAATGCCGGCAGCTGGGGATCTGCAAAGGTGAACACAAAGACCCTCCACAAATGAATGCTACATTTACAGAGACGCAGTCAGGGTACTGACCACATGAAGCCATGTCAGAAAGGTAAGAGTTACAGACAAACTATTGCAGCTTATGTGTCTTCCGTCTATTCGGAGAACAACTGAAAGGCAAGTCTACTATTACAGGATTAAGTGTCTTTTTCAAAAGTGCACAGAGACCTGAACAGCTGATAGAGGATGAAATGAGCTTAGAAACAGCTTTTTTTTAATAACTGAATGTTCCATCTAATTAAATTAAACTTTAGAAGTTGGCTTATTTGGGTATATTTTCAATATGAGCACATTTAAATGAGTGTGGGCAATAGATTGAAATCATTTCTTGAAGACGAGTGTCATTTAAAAGACCTCAGAATTACATTTCTTTATCGTACAGCTAAATCTATTTTGTGCCGGCTTGGCCTTGGGTGCAGCATTATCCTGTAATAACCACTAATTGCACTCCACAATGTAAAAATACAATGTTATCATTTTGAGCTATGCAATTGCATTACATCTCGTTCAGAATGGCCTTGAAATAATGTGGCATTAAATGTGTATAATAAAATTGGCATTATGTATAATTTTATACCAAATGGACATCAGTGCTGTACATTGGGGTCTGATTGTGAAATTTCCCAAGGCAATCATAAACACTTGTTGCAAAGTGCATAGTAACATATTGCAGTGAGGGTGGGCCATTGTATTTTTTCACATATTTCCCTTTATTTCTCCTGAAAGCCAGCATTTTGCTATGAAACAGGATATAATGTAAATTTTATGGGATCTAAAAATGAACTATGTTTTTCTGTCACCGGTTTACTTTTCCACCATAATCTTGGGATCGCATCATTTGCATAGGTTAGTAGACCTTCACTTTAAAAGAGGACACTTATGAAAAATGCATGTTGCAGTGCTGCATGGAGACTGCTGTATTCCCACAGTATGTGTATTTTATTTTACAGACTAAAGTATATTACTGGATTATGGCACAGGGCTAAATCATAATAACTATGAAAATTAAAGCCGAAATAAAAGTAGCATCTGTGGTTTTTAGGTCAGGCATTTTCTGGCATATAAGACATAAAATTGAAGTACAGGGATATCAAGCTCAAGCTCTATTGCTACTGTAGACATGGATTTTGTGTTTCAGCTAGGGATTTTAGGAAACACATTAGAGTACAAACACACTTTTGAAATCTGTTTGCTGCAGGAACACTACAAGTAAAGAAATTCATCTGCAATCCTCATGGATGAGGACTGCAAAATGTACACACATTTCATTTGTTCAGGAACAGTGATTGCACCCAAACTAGTTCTGGATGTGCCTATATTTTGTTAGTCTGATAGGACAAACATAGCGACTGCAACGATCTCATAGGGTTATATGTAATATTAAATTAAAAGTGAAAATATAATATCCTTTAGATACTGAACTATTTTGTGTAATACTATCAACGGACACCCACTTCCAGCAGGACCTAGGTGTTTCCATGTCAGTGATCAGGAATTACAATTTACAGTTGCTGCATGACCTACTGGTGAGATCTAGTAGTGCTCCTCGGATCCTTGCTGCTCTTCCCGCCTGTATTGGCAGAGGCAGCGGGGTTTCCGATGAGAAATGGAGCAGTGAGGAGAGAGAGAGATGCTCGGCCAGGATCTGACAGCCGGTGGCTCTCTATCTCCCCACCACTCACCAGCCATCCTGAAGTGACAGCGCTCCCTCCTCCGCCCCCCCCCTCCGGCTTCAGCAGGATGGCAGAGCAAAGGATCGGTAAGTATCTGTGATATACCGATCCTCTCTGTGCAGAGCAAACACTGGCGTGATCATTGTTTGTAGTGCTTTACATCACTGTTCATTCATAGGTTTCTCACTATAGAGGCTCCTACCAATTGATAACTGGATGAAAGTAAATATTTTACTATCAGCAGTTTCTGCATGAATGGGAAGCGTCTGTACTAATTGCTCTCCATTCAGTTAGAACAGTTCCTGCAGAGACTCTGTGTCCTCAATTTCTTTTTCTATTTCAAAAGAGAAATGTCAGGGGTCTGTGTTAAGGTGCCCATACATCTTACGACCATCGCAAGACCTTTGTCTTGCGATGGTGGTAAGCTCATTGAAAGCTCGTACGATCTGCCCATCTTGGACGGGCAGATCGTACTTGTGATCATCGAAAGCCCGCCGCTGAGGGGCGGGCTTCTGATGACCGCAGTGAGGGGCGGGCTTCCGATCACTGCAAACGGGCAGTGTGCGCGTTTGCAGTGGCGGGTTTTCAAGCCTGCTTGTTCGACGGAAGACGTGCGACCGTACAGTAGAAACAGTCGCACGCCTTCCATACACTGTACGATCGCGGGATTTGCCGCAATTCTCGTACGAGAATCGTACAGTGTATGGGCACCTTTAGAGAAAACCAATACTCCACCTGCTGACTGCATATAAAAATATAAAATGATCATATGGAATATTTTATATGTCCTTCTGTTTCCTCTGTGATTTCAAGAGAATATTGATTTTTACCACCTGAGGGAGGTAGTGAGAGCAGACTTGATCCGTACTCAGCTATACATTTTACTACTAATCAATTAGTGGATCAATTAGTGGATTAATTTGAGTCAGTATACATAAAATTAGCTCAATCCAAATATAAACATATACAGCCTAATTCCCAGGTCCTTTTAAAAAAGCAAGTTATTTGAACACAAAAAAAAACTATGAGTGCACTCAAGCTCTTTTTACCCCAACATGCATATGCATATGTGTAGCACAATTTCGCCTATTGGAGCCAAATACAAATACTTAAGGAATCTTAAAGTGGATTTATATGTATGTATTAATTACACTAAAAATGGTCTTCTTTAGTTCTCTATAAATTATCCTTCATGCAGGAGGGACACATAGGTAATTCTAGGTGCAATGCACTTTATATCATTTGCACATGGATTTCTGTTCAAAAGCAACTTTAGAATGTGTGCCATAGTCAAATCATGTTGTTGGGGGACAATCTGTTTTTACCGACATCTACTTGTCATTTCCATTCAGATTTGCACTTTCCTTCATTTCTCCCATATAGGGAATATCCCACTTAGCTAGGGGAAGGTGATTCTTTACCACTATGTTAGCTTTTTGGTTGAAACGTGTCTCTGTGTACCTGCATTATTGGACCCTTGGGAACAGTCTCTCCATTATCAAGGTTCAATAGCACCATGCAGTAGTTCCACTTCAGGGGACAGTGAAGTCTGGCATAACTCACTCTCTATTATAATGCTGTGTGCCTTGCTGGATTATATTACTGTAAGTCTCTCAGACATTAATGGGTTATTCCCAAAAGGATGAAGGGTTTGGAGAAGGCAGGAGAAGTAAACAATCTAGACCAAAATAGCCAAACTGGAAAGTGAGCTGAATTGGGGAATTATTCCAAATCAGCTATTTTGTCCTAGATTGTTCACTTGTCCTGTCTTCTCCAAACTCTTCACCCTTTTCTGAATAACCCTGTAAATGTCCAGTTGAAAAAATAGACTCTCTAATGAAACCCTCACAATACTCCTTGCAGCCAGAGACCATTTTACTGTACCTCTGTCTAGGCTTAAGGTCACATCAGGCAACTTTAAATCAGCAGGTTTTTGTCAATAGCAAGCGAGAATAACTTTTTTTTAAAACTCAAATTCATAATGTCTTTGGCAAAGCTGATATGTGCCCTATTGATTCAAGTAAATCAATCCGTTTAAGCTAAAATGTGCCATTAATACCTCCTTGGAATAACTCATCTTACTTTGGCCATTTAAACAGCAAAAGGTTTTCAGCATAGCCAGCAGTTATGATAGGTGGCTCATACCATTATTCTTTCAAACAATATATTATATTGTTATAAATTGATAAAACTGAAAAAAAGATATAAGACAATGTACCATGTAAAATTCCACAGGTAAATTATCAATTTGCTATTATCACAGAGAATTGTCATTTTCCTGGGGAAACGTATTGGCCGCTTTTGTCTTGATAATGCCCTTACTGAAAAAGAAAAGCATTTGGCAAGGGGGCACATCTGGACAAAGTGTTAAGATTGTGAGAGGGCCTTCTTCTGTGATACTTCTGATTAGGATACAACAGAGTCAGGGCACAGTGAATTATGCTTTACAGATGTTTAAATGATTTTACTGGTCATAAACACAATCATCAGACAGATTTCAGTTTTTCAGGAGATTAAACATTTCCAGCCAAGTCTCGCAATCCCTCAGGACAAAGAAGCTGCTAATCCATCACAGCTAGGACACAGACTTTTTTAAAATAGACAGAAAACAGCAATATAGCATAACGAGGTGGACTGTACAGCTTTGATCTGTTTTTAAGGCATGACTCCTGTGGGTGTTACTCCATTAAAATCAAAGATCACTTTCTGTTCTTTAGTTTCACCTGCACCCAGCAGACACATAATGGAAGATGATGTAGGATGTTTAAACCGCTTCATGAGCGCCATTAATTTTATCTCTTCATTTTGCTTGTGTGTGGTTTTTGGTGGTCTTACCTTTCATGAAAAAAAGCACGCACATCAGAGCAGGAAACATAAATGCCAAACACTTATGTCATATTTGAGCCACCTGATGAGAACACCTTTTTTGTCCTTTCCTTCATTCATTCTTTTATGTGATTTTTAATCTGTAATATGACATTTCAAACAATAATCCTTTTCAGAGGCAACCCAGAAAAGATAGATTAAGAATAGACCCAAGACCTGTGACCTAATGTTCTGCAGTCCATTGCTGAAAATGTAAAGTGCTGTGCACATTAGACCAGAAGTAATTACCTGACCCTAGACACAGAGGATTACTGTATCTACAGACAATATTTATAGACTGAGTAGATGAATTGAGGTACTTGGGGCCCACCAGAGCAAATGAGAGGGCCCACCCTGAAACAGCACGAAGAATATACACAGCAAATTTAAGTGTAGCTGTAAGTATTGAGTGAATAAATATTCCTCCTTTTTCTGGCAGCATATTCTTTACACACACATGCAGAAACATATACGCACACACTCATAAACACATCAGCGAGCATTCAGAATCACATGTGCTCAAGTTAGGTAAATGGGGTTGTTTCAATTTGCATGATGCACTATTTAAAATAGCTGGTATTGCAGTGCCTATAGTGCATTGCCAACATTATTTTTGGAGTATTGTGCATTGCATACCGTACAACACTAGGTACATAATGAAAATCTTTGATTTTTAAGAACAGTTTAAAAGACAGATTATTTTAGGAGAGGGTAAATTGTGGCAATATGGTCTCTAAAACCAACACTTTAATGAACATATGCCAGCACAGATGGTAGCATAGTACTAAACTGCGGCAATGCATAGCCAATCGTGTCAATACAAAAATAGTTTATGGGCAATTTTGGTAATGCATTGTCAAACGTCGGAATATATGGACAATAAATGAGAACTGTGGCACTACACATAGGCCATTCTGGCAATACAAAGACACTTCTGGCAATGAATAATTAGAACATTGGTAGTTGTAGCAATACATGGACAATAATATTCACACAAAAAAATCTTGCGCCAATCAGTGTATTTTTTTTTAGCAAGCAAGCACTGATGATCCTAGATAAATCACTAACCTTAAAACTTTACAAATTAAAAGTGTCATGCTACAATTCAAAGTAATAAAATAAGTGCATATAAGAGATTGTTTTCAAATGTGTACAGTATGTGCAACAATAACCAGTGGATTGTGACAATGATGCAAAGTATCTGAAAAACATATAATACAAACCACAACTATAAAGCGGTCTCAAGGAAGTCTTATTATGTGTAGGTCCTTCTTAAGAGACATTGATGTATGTCTTGCCAGCGCACGTGGAGAATAGGAATATGTGCAATAGATTTACAAGTAGTGTGTCCACCATGGGATAACAAGACAGCACGTGTATCCCAAATACATGGGCAATACATGACATTTGTGAGAATACATTAGAATTTAGGTAATATATGAGATTTGTTTTCTGTAAAATGCTCTCCAGACCAAAACACACACATATTGAGCTGGTTGTTTTTATTTTGGCCAACATATGCAAGTTCAACATTTGTGTTATAGTTCTGCATGTTTGTTCGGTTATATACTATTATTTACAAGGTATAAAAATATATAAAATGTGTGGGGCAAATCTGGCAATACAAAAGCAGTACATGGGCCATTACGGTGATACGGCACAAGTGAGAACTGGCGCAATACACAGGCCATTGTGCTAAAGCTCAAGTATAAAAAATTAACAGTACACCTCACAAGCTTAATACTAACACAGCTGTAAACTATCTATGATAGATACCAAACAGAATATGACAGGCCAACAGCAACTCAGAAATATGCCTCACCATTGTCTGTACCTACTGGCTCCATAATCGTGATTGTCAGTTTAAACCACCTATTTGCGCTAACTGGAACTCCAATTCTTTCTTAGCCCAGAGCAGAAAAGTCAGCTTAATACAGTATGTTGCCATTGGAAGGACACTTTGGTGTCACTTGCCTGCTCTCATACATGGTGCCATGACTACTCTGCTCCAGTTCAGGATTCCAGTTCAAGCCTGGAATCCTTTGGCAGGTATACGGCCTGCACAGGGTGATTGAAGGCAGTGATGAGCAGTGCAGCACTTGGATGGGGGACTTTGGGGAGGAGGTGAGCAAAAAAAATGTACAGGGTAGAGCATATGGGAGTATCTACAAGTCCTTTCATTGGTCAATCCAACATTGGTCTTTATCTTTGGGAAACAATAGTGGTCAGCCAGAAAAATCCAGCCGGGCAAAATCTTTCTCCAAGATAGGTCCTCCAGAGAGTGCAGAAGTCAACAATACCAATTTCACAAAATTGTTTACCAGTGCTACCACATTAGGCTAGATCAGATTACACCATGCTATATATGTTGCCATTTTAATGGGCATTTTACAATACAGTCACAATCTGTCTACCTACAAAGAGTCATTTGAGGACAATTATACTATATGATTTTAGGATGTGCACAGGTACTATTCTAGTTTAGTATTAAGCCAAACTCAAGAATCAATACACACAAGCGTTTACCTATGCTTTGTATTTTGTCATTGGCCACACCCGACAGGTCCAGTCATTTTCATTGCTGTCCCTCTGTAAGAGAATATGAAAGCCGTATAGAACAAGGCCTAGAGCCATTGGCCCAGGTTGTATTTTCATGTGCTATATACAGCAGTGACACTAAAAAAAGCAGATCAACTGCTTTACAGCCATCATCCATTTCCATATTCAAAATCATTTTATAATCCAAACTAACTTTTTAGGCAATGAGCTTCTGTTCTGTGTATTAACAAAGGAATGGCATCTGTTTGTGAAACAAATCTGTATGCTAAGAATATAAGGCCAAATGAAGCATAGCTTGTGATTTCCATGCTCTGTTTAAAATATTATCTCTTTAGCTCCTCAGGTGTGAACAGCTTTTCTAAATCCTACTCATCACACTGCTCTGATCTCAGTGAAACATACACACCTTTACAAATTCTGTCAAGTAAAAGAAGAACTTTGCAGCAAAGCTGTGATTCTGGCATCTCATCTCCAGTGAGTATTTTGTATGATTTTGTTTTTGTAACAACTAATCATTCCAAGACCAGTTGCTATAAAGAGGTAGTGGCATTAGTGCAACTGTATCTGGGTTTTTAAGTGCCCCTACTGGTATCTCTATGGCTAAAGAAGGGCAGCTATCAAAATTAGCCTCATTTATATATTTATTGTGTGAAATAAGTATATATTTAAATATATCAGTCAAACCTTTATTGTACAGATGTCATTTTATAATAGAGCTTGGAATATTATGGTTAAAATAGAACAACACAGTGTTCATGTTACAGACACTGATAGATCTATCCCAGTGTTAAGATTGTTTCTGCCTTGGCCATCCCTTTAGTGAGGCAGCCTGAGGCTATTGCTGAGCTGATTGATTGCTCTCCTGCACAATGTTTGTGGTGTGCCTGCTGCCCCCTTTCAAGCCAGAGAGTTCCAGGTTGCTAAGAGCCAGGCAGGGAGATGTGTAAAGGCCATACCCATCTTTCCGCCCACCTCTTAGCGACCTGAGATGCTCTGGCCGGCGTCCTGTTCAGCTCTTGGCCACCAGTGATGTCAGGCTTGGGACACTACTGGTTTCTGCTTTGTACTTCAAGCTGTAAACTGAGATGAACTGTTGGCACGAAAAATCTCTATATGCAGCAACATTGTGTAGAAGTTTATATTGTGTGCCTTTACTAGTGCTAGAACTTCAGAGGGGCGTTTGGGAGCTGAACAGGGTATCTTTTGTCAGACAGTGATCTTATATAATAAGGGGTCATATGCTTTCTGATGGTGGTCCTGTCTTTGCCACTTCATCCACTTACATCAAATGTATGTGGAAGAGAGGGGCCCTCTATATCCATTGATAGGGGGAGGAGGTAGGGTTTCCAAAAATGGAACATAACTTCACTATTCCAAGAGTCTGCCCTATTCAAGTAATGTCCCCTGAGATTTTATATATTGCAAGATCTAAGAGCATTCAGTTTCAACTGTATTGTTAGGTGTCATATGTGTTTGATTGGTCTTCTGCCTCTCTCCTGCAAGGTATGATCACACTTGGGTGATCTGAGTATTCAAGATAACAAAATGACAATTCATAAAACAACCATTTGTCAGTCACACCTTTCCCATTTATCCAACCAACATATAAAATGTGAGTCTTTCTTAAAGGGTATTTCCACTTTCCCAGGTGAATTTGGGAAAATGGAATTACCCACCCAATCTGGCCGCCAGCCACCCCCCACCGCTATGCTTATCTTTCGGCGAACGCTCCTTCCCCTTTGTACTATCCATACCCTGTAATGTTGAATGAGAACTGCTTCTTGTTTCTTGCTAAAAAGCACTTCTCATTGGTCAGAGCGGTCAGGTGACTGACCTGACCAATGAGTGCTTGCTATTTGCAAGCAAAATAAAAAATCCAGAGTGCAGGGCTGTGCTAGACAGCAGTATGGGGTACTACGCAATGTCACTAAGTAACAATGCAGAAGCAAATTTCGGAGAAATATGTCAGCTTATAACATGAAGTACTTCAGCAAGAGCCTTCATGACAGGATTAACAGGTGTCATTTCAATAAAAGCTGCAATTTTAAAAAGATAAAACCCAATTTTTAGTGCTAACAATTGATGATCTGAGGTGAAAGCCATTTTTCTGTTCTGGTAAACCTTTCCTAATTTCTCTTTTGCGACCATAATGCTGTAAGATTTTTGTGGCCTGACATAGGAACATTGTTTTCCTCTAAGCATAGATAGATTTGTACTTTGAAATGGTGTGTGTGCATAAAGCCATTGGTGGAAAGGCCTCTGCATCTTTGCACTCAGGTCCTTCCATCTGTCATAGATACAGTGGGGTCTCATTCCTGCAATCTCTACCTGTTGTAAATCATGCAGCAAAAGTTTTGAAACCCTTAGATTATTTTGTCACCAGCTATGGTGAGGGCAGAGTTAGTGGTTTTGGTAGACAGATCCTACCACTGAGATATATACTAGGTTTAAGTAATTTATCCCACCTGTAATTACATTTTGAGGTGAGTTAGCCTTAAAAGAGGAGCCATCATTAAGGTTGGCCATTGGCTGGCCAACAGCCTGCTACTGACAGCTGGGCGGCATCTCACAGCTGGCTCTGGCCACTTGCATGCAGAGACAGATCAGTGTCCCCTGCTTACCAGGTAACCAGGGACGCTGATCTGTCAGTACCCTGAGAACCCGGCGGAGCCGCTGTGATATCAGTGTGTAATGACAGTTCAGCGTCCCCTGGTTACCTAGTGACCAGGGGACACTGAACTGTCATGAGAGCTTGTCGGAGCCAGCGGTGATATCAAAGCCTGGACCATGTACACGTATGACAATTAAATGTAGGACACGTCTTTTAAAACACCAACGGAGAAGATAGCATTAAGCTGATCCTTTTCATGTGTTTGTGTCTATAAAACATTAAAAACACTATAATTCCCCATCAATACATAATACAAAGCCAGTTTACTTTGGCAGCAGTGGTTGTGCATAGACACTCTGCAGTGCCTTGAACTCCAGGTCCTCATCCACAAAATATATTCTTCACATCTTAAATAAAGCAAAGCAGATATTTGGAGTGATATAGAGCAGAGTGCCAAAGATCTGACCCAAGTAAAGCATCCAATTTCCTATTTATGTAAGATAAACGCAAGTCTATAAAAACTGGTTGTTCTCAGGCAAGCAAAGGAGATTATATCTACTATTTTAGGATAAAAAGAAAAATGTTTTTGTTGGCCATGTCAGACTGAGGATGTGTCATCACCAGCTCTTCATTCACAAAACAATAATATATTACTGGGGCTGGATGAAGGACAAGTGTCTTTGCTGCCCTGAGCAAAAAGTCTGCAGCTTCCATTACTCATGAAGGTAAAAAAAAATGAAACAAAGAATAGGTTCCCATATGATTTTACTTTCCTTCATGATTGTGTGCAGATATTTATTACCTTTAAATATGATTAGCCAACAAAAACTGCGGCAGTGATAAATAGAGTGGAAGGTCAGACTGATATGTAATATCTTAGTTTGGTTCACTTAGTTTTAACTATTTACCATCATGTTATGTCTCTTCAGTAGTTCTCTGAATGTAGTAAACAGATGGCACATGATTATACTGTTGATAAAACATAAGAACATCACTTGACTTATAATTTGTGGAAAACAATACATTGTTGAATGTGTAAATAGAACAGTGAAGCGATCTAGACAGTTTGCGTGAGTGCCAGTGACTTGCATAATGCATTATTAATAGTTGGAGTCACTTCCTATTTTTTTATACTTTAGCTCTTATATAGAAGTCAGAGTATTTTTAGCTAACATCTGTACTTTTAGAATTGATGAACTGTTAGCATTGAAAGGTACCCAGAGGTTTAAGTGGGTGGTCAGACACATGAGCTAACTGACCTCAGGCACTGCCCCTGGCTGGCCACTGTAGAAATGTAAATGGAATTCAGTATACTGAAATGACTGATTTTTCTGAATTTCACAAACATTAAAAAAAGAGCCTTGTTTATCTGAACATCTCAGGAGGATATGTGTCAGGCCATCTGAGCTGACTCATAGTAACCAGTTAGATTTAAATATGCCCTATAAATGACAACTGTGGAATATCTAAATGTAGCTACCTTGGAAAAATCAGAATAGAGTATCGGAACCTGTTCTTCCCTTAAGCTAGGTATACATGGTGAGAATTTTGTATGAACATTCACAGGAAAAATCTCACCAGAACATTTGATGATGCCATCAGAGACTTGCAACCGGCTATAGAGGAATACAAATCCCAGCAATACATTATACAGCAAATTAGAAAACCATCACCTATAGAGGACTACAAATCCCAGCAATATATTATACAGCATTGCTGAATGGCAACCAGCTATAAAGGACTACAAATGCAGTAATGCAGAATAATATAAAGCTACATACTCTGAGCTGCTGTGGGATGCTGGCCTGATGCCTCCAGGGTCTTAGGAGGGCTGTGGAGGGTCTCAGGAGAGCTGTGGATGGTCGTAAGAGGGCTGTGGAGTGTCTTGCAGGTGGGTGCAAGTGGCAGAAGCGCTGTAAGCAGTGGTTCCCCAGGAAGGAGGGGGAGATGTGCGGGCTGGCACTGTAAACAGGCACCACGTGGTTCACAGGAAGGCTGCCGCAGTCCCTAGCAAGTGCAGGACCTCAGGCAGCCACTTCAGTTTACAAATTTAAAGCGCTGGTATTGGTGTTTAGTATCAGGGCATTTTCACAAGTACGGGTAGTCATGTAAATACCCAGTATCGGCACTGATACTGGTATTGGTGTATCCCTAGTAAATACAATGTAACAGTACTCTGCAAGTATCATTTTGCACATTAGAGGCTGCATTTTGACAGATGCTCCTGCTATGTAATATATAGCAAGTCTCGACTGTCTTGTCAACAGGCAGTAATTGCGGTGGGGGCGTGGTGGCAGGGGGAGAGTTAAACATAGGAGAAATGCCCTAGAAACTTTGTAGATGTTTTTTAGGACATATCTTCTACATTTAACATGCTTGTTGATCTGCCAAAAATCCACTCAGATGTTAAGTCCTATTGTAAGCTGACAACACAGCTTGGAGTGGTGTCAGTCCTGCCCACTACTTAAACCCACCCTCTGTCCTATTATCTGCAACATACAGACTAATAATTCGGTAGTCCCCAGACAAAAACTAGGAGGGCTAATTACTTTCCTAGAGATAAATCAGGAAGCGTGCACAGAATTTGATCTGACTAGATCAATAGGTATTTTGTTCTACTTTTCAAACAAATTTAAACAATTAAAAGTTCAGTGTTAAATTTAACAGACCACAGGAACCAAATATTAGAAGTTAATTGTTAGGGTTTACATACAGTTTAAAAACATAGCTACACAATGAATAATTCTTACCCTCATTTTTTTCATTTATTTAAACAGAATGGGGGGAATTTATCAAAACTGGAGCAGACAAAATCTGGAGCATTTGCCCAGGGCAACCAATCAGCTTCTCTCTTCAGTTTGTTCACTTGATGTCTGAAAATGAAAGAAAGATGATGATTGGTTGCCATGCACAGCTGCTCCAGTATTTGTCTGCTCTAGTTTTGATAAATTCCCCTCAGTGTGTTGGCTTTGTGCACATTTTTCTACCTTTAGGTATTATGGTCAGGACAAGAAAATAAAATGCTACAATGTTAATTTTCTTCATTTTTAATCAGGCAAATCTGAAATATTATATGTTTTGTTTTGTAATCCTATACAGTATGTAGCCAGCAGATGGAGGTTTAAGCTCCTTTTCATGTGTTTCCCAGTTCTTGTCTACAGTTGTAAATAGTCTCTTTTGAAAACCAAGATATAAAGTATATATATACCGTATGTGTATATATACACACACATATATATATATATATATATATATATGATACACAGAGATAAAACATCACTTTAAAAACCTATAACATTGCTAAAAATAGGATAAAATTACCCCAAGCCATTAGAGTTTCCCTTTCGCCTCATTCTTCTGGCAGAGGTAAAGGGTAGATCTATAGATAGGCATGTAAATGGGTTCCTTGGTATCTTCTTGCTTCATGACAAAAACTGTCCTTCAATCACAGGGACATGAAATGTTACTTTTGTAGGGAATTAATGATATCCATCCCCTATGTAAACAGCTAAGCTGGCATTCATAGCATAGGGGCAGCAATATCAGATGAGTAAACCATGTGAGACGCCATGTTGGCCTCATCTACTTAAAATGTAAAACACCCCAAACACGTTTTTTTCATTTTGGATAGAGTAAGGAAGGATTAAAATCCCAGTCAATTTATTTTTTGCTGCCTGTTGGGGAGATGATTAATTTGGTGTGCTGGTGACTTACTTTCTAGGAAGTGAATGACATTCTCCCCAACAAACAGCAAACAATAAACTGACTGGGATTTTAATTACTCTCTATGTTATATGTGGCGGCCCCATCCGCTTGTCACTACGGCACCCATTGAGAGACAACAGTGGATATACAGATTAGGTGTGCAATGAGATATCTTAATTATGTTGTTCATTTCCTGTTTCATAGAGGCAACAGGAAGTAAGAGGAAATCTCTACAAGATGGGGAAGGGAATTACCTTTTTAGACAGTTATCACTGGGACAGGTGTTCCTCCAGAAGATTTACCCTCACCTCTTGTTCTGGTTACAGCTGTAAAATGTTGGATTTCCTATTACATGGTCACCAAGACATAAAGAGAGGTACAGAGTTAGCAATAAAAACTTAACATGCCTTATATATCCTTCCCTAGTATATACAGAACTAGATATGGCTATGGCTGGCTATGTGTACACTTTAACTTTAGGCTTGCTTGGTGTATTGTATTTTATTCAAAGATTCATTGAGCTGCACCATCAATCAGCATATAGTTACCAAAAACCACACAATCAAAAACCACACAATATATTTCTGTGCTCATCTTACATAGATTTGCCTGCAGTGTAAATCTGAATGCTGCAATGTGCACTGCCAATAACATATTTTAAAATGTCATCAGTTATAATACCACTCAGTAATTCTGAAAATAAATGACCCTATTATGGTTTGACCCACTGCCTGTTCACATAAACTGGCCTACAACAATACAGTCTGGGTAACGACTGATATCTCTAGGCTGGGACCTTGTGGGTTGATTATGTTTTTTTTTTAGGTCAAATGTCATTCCCTAATGAGAGAAGAACACATTTTGGATGTAGTATTTTCTTTTTTATGAAAACATTTAATTGCAAATGTAATCACTGTTGTCCTTGTTTGACTTTTGTGATTTCAAGGTGTTGCTTCTGTGGTTTAATCATTTTCAAGTGTTCCATGAATGCACATGAAAACACTTCAAAACATAATTAGCGTTCTTTCTTCTCTGCATTTTAAGCTGCCATGTGATGCGTTCAAATATCTAACTTGGCACAAGTTGAAAGAACATGATGTGCAGGGGACTCAAATTCATTCTCCTAGAGTGAGAGAAGGTAAAGTAACAAACTCTTATTCGACGTCTCACTAGAACTATTTATCTACTTTTGATCCAGGACATAATATTTCCTTATTTTATTTGTTGTTGGGTACATCTGAAATGCTTTCTATCTTTTTATACATATGTGTACATTTTACATGATCACAGGACCACCAGACGATGAGCTTGTAATAAGAGGAGAGGCACATCTATCAGTAGAAAGCGCGCAGACCAATGATAAAGAGATTTGGAGACGGAGGCTGCAAGAAAACTGGGAGAATTGCGTGGTGAGAGTGGAGTAATGAATATTATTTGCTGAACCTTAGCATATTTCATTCAATTTTTGAATTGATTGGCCCCCATTACCCCCATCTTCATAAGCAAATCTAACTCTTCCTGTCACCTTTTGTAGGCTTGCAGACAGGCACGTGGCAGGCTAAAGAGGGAAAGATTATAATTTCTATTTGTACCTCTAGTGTCAGGAATTTTAATATGGTCCACCACTCTCTGACTAACAGACAGCAGGTGTGCCCAGGGTGCTGTTCACCATGAAAAGGGGACTATGCATGTTCCTGGAGGAATGGGAGATTTATCAATTCACTTGGCCTCCCCCCAATTGCCCATAATTCTAGCAAAGTTGACTTATTACTGAAGAGTATTAGAGGGCATTTAGAGGGTGGCCCTACATGCCACTAAAGGAGCAGAAGCATGTTTTGTTTCTTGTTCCTATGCCTCTGGTTGTTTTACACAAGAATTATCCTCTGCACTTAATATACTGTATTTACAGAAGTTGCATATGATTGTGTTCAATTATGTAATGACTGTGCCTGCATATTTTTAAATCCTTTTAAGCCCACGTATGGCTAGGGTCTGATGGCGATTAACATGAACAGTATATTCCTCTATGCATGGGTGTAGTAATGTTACCAGAATGCATAAAGTGCACAAAAACTTCTGCCATCACAATATATAAGGTGTATTTCTTACAGCAAGCACTTAGGGACAGACTGATTTAACCAACATCTAGAACGAACAAACAAGCCAGTTTGTTCTTAAAATCATGCCTCTGTTTCTACCCATGACGTGTAGCATTTATTACTGGGCTTGGAGATACATTGTCAGCTCCTAGGCCTAAAGCAGCTCCATGTTTTGTTATAAAATTGTATTTTTAAAATGCAGCATTTACTATGGATATGGATATGGATAGTCAGCTCCTAAGATGAAAAATCAAGGCCTTAAAAAAAGGTGTTAAAAAAAAAGCTAATTTTATTGCAAAACTGCAGCATTTTTTTTAGTTCACTGAGTTTGGAAATAATTTCTCAGCTTCTGAGCCTAAAGTATTTTCTTCAAATAAATCTGTTTGCCTAAATAAGTACATAGTTTGGGCATTGATTGCCAGCTCTTGGGTCTTAAACAAAAGTGAAAACATGTACATGGAATATGCCACTTGCCTGCCTCTCTAACATCTACTATCCTCTCCCTGTAACCTGTACCTGTGTGCTGAGTTTTGCTGATTGGCTTGTTTCCTGGGCCAGGTAGGTATCACCTGGGGGACTGTCAATGTAATAACACATATACTGTAAACCTGTTTATAAAAAATCATGGCTTGCACATAGTAATGCAAATCTATCAGCAAAGCAACCTAATTAGATCTACTGGGAGTTCTGACTTCCGCATAATCCATTTGCCTATAGCTATCCACAATTTCTGCACCTCCATGGTTTTTCAGCTTTTGGGAGTTAGTGTTTCACTCACAGCTGTGTCTGCTGCTAAAATGGTCTGCCCTTATATTATTATACAGGATTTATATAGCGCCAACAGTTTGTGCAGTGCTTTACAAAATAAAGGGAGACAGTGCAGTTATAATACAATTCAATACAGGAGGGTTAGGAGGACCCTGCTCATGAGAGCTAATAGGGGCAAGTGATACAAATGCATTGATTGTGAGGGATGAGCTTGTACAACCATTCCTATA